TAAACCCCAAACCCTAAATCCTGGTTGGACCCTCCTTTGTAGAAGAAGTTTCGGGCAGGTCATGGCATGGATGCCCAGCGGTGACATGACCTGGATGGGATGCCAATGGCAGGACAAGTCGAATTTCAGGGCTTTGGAAAACGAGTCCCTAAAACCCTAGACCCTAGACCCTNNAACCCTAAAACCCTAAACCCAAACTAGAGGGCTTCGGTCGGGTTTTGGAGGCTTCAAAGTCGTTGCTATGAGAGTTTGAGCGACCCTTCATACAATATACAAGTCTTGGTGTTCCTTATTGTCTCTGCCTAAACCCTCAACCCTAAAACCCTAAACCTTAAACCGAATTGTCTCCGATTCCGAGCCATGAGCTGAAGGGCCCCGACGGATTTCCATGAGGCTGCAGGTAATTTAGCAGCACTGAAAAGCGGCTTTTCCTATAGGGTTCTCTGATTTAGGGCTACTTGTAAGGGTTAAAGGGCTCCGCCTCAGGTTTTAGGATTCCGGGCATGGGATTCAAGAAGAGCTGCAAAGAAACCCACAAGGTTTGTGACGAGTTTCCGCTTCTTGTGGCCAAACCTAGAAGCCAAAGCCGACGGCTCAGGGTTTCGTGTGTCTTGACGGACCTTGCTTATCCCGAAGTCCTGAGATAGCGGACGCTATACAGCCCATCCCGTGGGACTGCCCAGAACCCCGCAAAGTTCCCATCCGGTCTGGAAGTCGGAAGACAACCCCAAACCTAAACCCTAAACCGCCAAGTTAACACAACCTCAACGAATCTTCAAGGAACTCTCTTAGAACCCTTCAAAGGCGCCCTTCAAAGGGCCCCTTGAAGAGAATCGCTATAGCACTGGAAGAAACAAGACACGTCAAGGAAGCCCGTATAGTTCATAAAGGCACCAGAAGCCCTTTTACAGAAACCAGCCTTCCACCCTAAACCCTAAACCCTAAACCGACACAAGCGCCAAAAAGGCCAAACACCTTAAACCACTGAGCCCCGTCAACCCCGTACCCCTAAAACCGTAAACGCAGCAAGACACCCTAAGACCCTAGTATGCCCCCTTTTTACATCCCGGGAACATGCAACGGAAACTCCTTAAAGGAACCCTTACAAGAGCCTGTTGGGCGTGATGCAGCGTCTTAACGAGGTTCCTGAGGAGTACCCTTTTGCCCTTTTTATTCTATGGTTCTCTGATTACAAACCGAACATTAGCAACAAAAAGGGTACCCTTATTCTTAAGGGGTCACTCAGGAACCTTGTTTAAATTGCACCGTAGATCCTAAGCTCCTAAAGCCAAAAAAATAGTAGGTTATGGGCCTTGAAGTAGTTGCAAGGTAGCACTCCTTGAAACGGTAAGTTATTGGAGTAATCGCTGTAAACCCCAAACCTCCAACCCTAAACCCTAAACGCCAAACCCCAAACCCTAAACCCCAAACCTCAAACCCGAAACCCTAAGCCCTCAACCCTCAACCCTCAACCCTAAACCCTAAACCCCAAACCCTAAGCCCTAAACCCTAAACCTAAACCCTAAGCCCTCAACCCTAAAACCTAAACCCTAAACCCAACAGGAAATGTCGGGGCAGACGGTGGGTTCGCCCACGAACATCGGGAGCCAGAGTCCGACGAAGGCCGGGCGCAAAGGATTTAGGATTTAGGGTTTAGGGTTGAGGGTTGAGGGTTTAGGGTGTAGGATTTAGGGTTTAGGGTTTAGGATTAGTTTTGGGGTTCTGAAACGGTTCCAGAGTGGTGTTGTGATCTTCAAGGGTTCTAGCGAGGGTTTTAGAATGATTTTAGGAGTTATTTAGCTAGAAGGGGTTCTATGTTTTTTTTTGGGGTGGGGTTATTCAAAGATTCTGTAATGGGTTTTAGAGAGGTGGGCTTTATGAGAATTATTGTTGTCAGGGGTTCGAGTGAGGGTTAAACTGCAAACCATTTAGATAACTGGGTTCCGTGACAGTTATAATGTCTTTTGATATGATGGCGGCTGAACGGTGCACATATTAGGGACCCAAAAAGGACATCAGCATAAGCAAAAAAATGGGACATCCCTGCCTTACTGGGCTTCAAAATAAGCGGAATTATATGGGATATCCCTATCCTAATTTTTGCTTAAACTTTAAACCCTAAACCCTAAACCCTAAACCCTAAACCCTAAACCCAGTGCTTTTTGGTGGTCTTAAAATCGATTGTACAAGGTGCGCCTTGGAGCTTCGGGGCGGGGGTATTACTTGGAGGTTCATGGGTAGTTAGAACTGGGGTTATAAGTCCCCTAATTAGGGTTATAATATTATAACCCCACTTATAACCCTAAACCCT